ACAATATATCGCCTTGTTTACAGTATTGAAATATATTGGGATATATTGAGATATATTGAGATATATCGGGATATATCGTATCGTGACCCCTCTGTCATGATATATATCGTTTCGCCAAATTCTTGCCAATACACAGCCCTAATATATAACAGAAACATGTAGCACAAAATCCACTGTGCACAATACGTTTAAAACAACAATTTCTCTCCTATATGAACCCTCAAAACCCCAATGGATCTTACAAATCTCCAAATTGATTTCAGCTCAGCCTGTATCACAACTCGGCCGCAGCAGCTCATTGAAATGCTGCTGAAGCAGGGAATGGCTTAACCGTCCCGATGAAGTGGGAGTCGTGTCGAAGGTGGCAGCACTACAATCAAAAACCACCACAAGGACGCTGCTGAAAGCCGTTCATTGTTTACACTGCCGACACATGACTCCTCGGCTGCTGTCAACACAAAACGTCATCGTTAAGTTGGCCAAGAAGATCACAATTGTGAACTTTATCTCCAGTGAAGATGAGTCAGCATAAAGGAGGGAGGTAGAGYGGCTGACAGCCTGCTGCAGAGCTGCACAGATAAAGGAAATCTASCAGTGACCACGGCTGGTTCTGAGGGTGGAGAAGAGCCACAACAGCAAGAGATAAAAGCTGACGTCGTAGATAAAACCGAAGCCAGCTTGTTGAGCATGCTTGCGTTCACATGGTGCACTTAGCATCACTAGCATGTCGGTATACTTCAGCCAAAGGTAATCAGAGACACAGTGAGTGTTATTTGGTGGGTCAGTAGCTACTTATGGGCAGGGCTGCCACAAACGATTATTTTAATAATCGATTAATCACCGATTATTTATTTGATTAGTCAACTAATCAGATCATACGTTAATTGAATATAAAACATATAGCTTATCATGTCAGAATGCAGCTGCTATTATATAACCATCGTTAGATTTTAGCTATATGCTAACTAAAAMTAATTGCTGTGGAAGGTAAGTTCTGCTCTGCAGATATTGCAC